CTGAGACTGAGTCCCAGGCCTTTTATAAAGCTCCCTGGGGGATTCTCGCACCATCAGTCCAGCATTAGGGAATCACTCCTTCTTGAATTTGAGTATATATCAATTCCAAAGGACGTAAATTCTTTTGGACCCTTGGCGTTGTGTGCTGTCGAGTCAATTCCAACACATAGCAAGCAACCCTATAAGACGAGTAGAACTGCCCCGTGGGGTTTCCAAGGCTATAATCTTTACAGAAGCCAACTGCCACACGTTTCCCCCACCGAGTGGCTGATAGATTTGAACCACTTAACTCCTGTGCCACCGGGGCTTCTAGTATTGATATTTTACTTTCTTTTATTATTATGTAATATGCTTACGTATAAATGTATGCTTGAGGTCTTAACCAGCTCTAAAACCAAGGAGGTTAATGGATCAAGTGCTATAACCATTCAATTTAACAACATTAATTTAATCTGCTGGCTGATGTTTGCGAAACTTCAGTTGCTCCTCTCACCGAGCACTCGCTTCTCTGCCAGTGCAGGTCCTTTCAGGCTAACCATGCCTGTGCTACCATTACTTGTCAGCCAGGGTCGACGAGGGCAGTCTGAATAACTGAACGCGATGTGGCGATTGAGAAGTCCTTCGGCACTTGCTGGCTGTGAAGATGGTTTATTTGCATCAGTCCCCCTCAGTTCTTTTCCCCCATCATCAGCCCATGGTCATTAGTCTTTCTGTTTGGAACTCTGCAGGGGCATGAGGTAGTTATTCACATCCTTCTCAATATGCTTATATTATTATTATTTTTTTCTTTTTTTAGATTACCTTGGAAATGAGAACACAAGCATTTTTATTTCTTTAGAGAATTCCTGAGAACTCTTGAGAATTCATGAGAAATATCCGTCTAGCTGGTTATTCGAGGCCTTCTAGCCCCCCTAGTCAGCCATCTTATGACGAGTTCTTTTTTTCACAGTGAGGTCTGTTAGGTTAAGTAAGTATTGTGCTTGCATCAACATTGTCTGCTTTTAGCCATTCCAGAGGCAAGTGCCTGGGGGTACAGTCAGCTGGGATGGGACAGGTGTGCAGTGGACACATCAGTGAGGGTCCAGAGCGCACTCGGGGTCTTTCAGACCAGGGCTGTGTTCCTGCTTGCCCTTCTCACCTCCGTGTGCCTTTGGGCTAGTTTCTTACCTCCTCAGAGCCTCTGGTTCCTTGGTCTCTAAAAAGGAGGTAAAAGTAATACCCACAGCACAGGGTTGATATGAAGACTAAATGAGTCAACAGATGTAAAAGGCATTGCACAGGACGGAAGTGTTTAAACGATGTAACTGTTACTGTTTTACTGCCTATCCGGTTTGAACTGTGCTCTCTGGGAAACGTCTGGAAGGGCCTGTGTGAGGACTTTGCTGTGTGGGAGGGACCTGAAACAGGATGGTGCTAGGCCAGTGTTTCCCAGGCCTTGCACTGGACGCTGTGAGCAACATGGGCTTTCCGGAGAGCTGGATTCAGCTTTTGCTGGGTTAGGTTGGGCCTCTGTTTATATCACAAACCCCACGGGTGCCTCTGATACTGGGCCAGGTTTGCACCCTTGCCTTCTGGGCCTGTGACTGGGCCTCATCACTGGATGGACCAGACTGAGATCTTGGTAAACAAATGTCAGAAGCTGAACTGAGACATTTACGTCAGCTTATTCTGGTTAGCATTCAGCGTTTTTGCAGATTGCTTTTGAAAACTGGCTGTAATTACCAAGGTCATTAGGCACGTTAACAAGGCCCACTGCAGGCCCAGTCCTTTGCTAGGCCACGTGGGGAAGCAGACTTCTCTGCAATAATATATGAGGTGTCTAGGCAGAGAGCAGTTCTGGAGTTGAAACCTCAGGTGGGGTGGGTGTCTGGTACCTGTGAGTGCCAAGGGCTAGCTGTCATTACTGTTGCCCCTTGTCGGGGACGCTGAGCAGGTGTGGAAAGGTATAATGCACCAAGGTGCTTTCCTCTGTCTCTGAACTGGCCTCACCCAAGGTGTCGCTCTAATTTTTGCTGCCACCTCCACTCCCTCCCCCAGCCTCTTCCTCAAATACTCCAGCCCAGGTGTGGGCCCAGGCCTTTTTCCTTGGTTTCCCTTAGCATACTTGTAACTGAACTTTTCTAAATATAAACGGAAAGCAAAAAAGGTTGAAATGATCAGAGAAAATGCCAGCAGCTTTCAGAGAGCCACTTTTCTGCAGGCTCAGCCTCCGCCCCCACAGTAGCTAACTCTCACTGATGAAGGCCCTGTCTCTGGTGCCCCTGTTCAAGGGCTCTTTTGGGCGGTGCCTGGAGAAGTCTTCTTAAATGCTAGGTGCCTTCTGCCCCTTCCAAATGAGATCCCATTGTCCCAGATCATCTGGGGTCAGATGTGGTAGTCAGTGGTATTTGTCCTCACCCGTTACCAGGTAGGCACCCAATAGCTTAGAAGAAAGAGCTTGTTTACTCATTCCACAAACATTTACTTGATTATAAGCTTCTTGGGCTGGGATTGGGTCAGTATTTGTTGTATGAAACGTTTATTCATACTCAGGCACATAAAGCTCGCAGGACGGTGCTTGCCTTATGGTAAATCCTCAGTGTCAGCTCTCATTATTATCTTATATGTGGGGGAAGGGGACGCATGGAAAGATCTCCTCAGCGTAGACTTTGAAGACATAGAGCTGGGTTCACTGAGCTGCAGGTCACACCCCAGAGCCTCAGGCTGTCATAAAATGGGGCTACTGCTGCCCTCCTCAGGGTGGTGATAAGGATGGCCGGAACTAGCCCACGTGCAGGACCCAGAGGTGGATCAACCCCAAATCTGCCCTCCAGGGACCAGCGGGAGAAACAGGGCCATGTAGTGTGTCGGGTACTTAAGGACAAGGTCCGTTGCAGAGATACCTTACAAATAACTGCCGTTGGGTAGCTGATGTCAGAAGTTTTTAGGAAGGTGAGGTAAAGTGTTAACAGCTACAAGGTGTAGGGGAAAGCCTGTGGGGGAGTCAGGTGAGGGCCGAGCCTTGCTGCTTCCAACCCGTAGACTTTGAGTAGCCATTCTGAGCCTTGGTTTTCTGCTGATAAAAGGCTGATAATATTTTATGGGCTCACCGTGAGGTTCAGATGAAATGAGGCATGTCATGCACTGGCCCCAGGTCAGTCAGTACTGGTTCCCTTTTTGTGTTCACTCAGCCTCCCATGGCAGGAAGCTCTTATTGTGTTTGCCTTCCACCAGTTTGTTTCCCTGGAGGACCTGTCCCAGTGCCCTCTGGCCTCCAGGCATGCCAGGGCTGGGGGCTCTGGCCTGACCAAGGCTGTGTTCACTCTAAGCGCTGGCTTTCTGTTGCTGGTCCTTCCAGAGCCTCAGTCCTGACTACTCACCCCGCCCCCAGCTTTTATGTTTGGGTGACTGTTTTTAAAAAATATCAAACTGCAGATTGTCACAGAAGTTAATATCATCAGCAATTCCATGAAATGGGCCTGCCACCCCCTCCACCAGTCATTTCTCTGTTGGGAAATAGCCCCCCAGGCCTCACGGACCGTCATGATCCCTTCCTCTCCTGGCCACAATTGGGGGCCAGGAGGAGTCTTGACTCTGGGCACTCTCACACCACCAGAGTCCTCAGTCCTTCAGAGGCAGGCGTCGTCTTGGACAGACCAAGTGCCATGTGGCCAATCAGCCAGCTGAGTCTCGACATCACTGGTGCACTTCTTGCTTCGTCAAGGTGCTCATCTTTCTCAGACTTGCTGTGCATTCTAAACCCTGTAGGTAAACCCCCAAGGGGGCTGGAGTCAAGTGTCCTTTTTTTTTTTTTTTTCCAGTACTTTTTTTTTTTCTGTTTCCCTCCACCACCACCCCCCTCCCCACCGAGCCTGAGAGAGCAACTCGTGTAACACGGAGCATCCCTACCCTAGTAAACCGTCTTCATCTGCCTACAGATCCCTGTGAGGCCTGGGGGAGGAGGGATGACGGGATATAGATGAGGCTGCTCGCAGGTTGGTGTGGGGACAGTGTGGACGGTCAGAGAGCCGTGGGAGTTCTGAGAAGTGACGGTGCCTTTCCTGAAGGGAAGAAGAAAGGACCTGCTGCACTGGTGGACTGTTTGCAAACTTGGGCACTCATTTTGCTGGACTGTGGGTGTCTGGGGAGTGATGGTCCAGCCGGATAGGCTGGGACGGGGCCCTGAATGCCATGCTAGGAAGTCTGGCATGATTGGAGCTACAGATGAGGAAAATGAATGTGGCAGCACTGCTGAGGTGGCGGGGAGGGGAACAAGTGAAAGGCCAGTTGGTCAGGAGCCTTGTGAGAGAGACGGGAGAGGAGTGAAGAGAACAGAGAAGACTGTGAGTTTGGTGATCAACTAACCAAATGTGGGAGGGCAGACAGACCCAAGACGATACTGTAGCACCTGTCAGGTTGGGTGACTGAGTGGCTGGTGGTGGTCAATTACTGGGATCTTGGATGAGAAGGAAACTTGGGGAGAGACATAGTGACTTGTTTGGGGGCAGTGGGACAGTCCAGCTGGGAGTCGGATACGGATACTGGAACAGAGGAGATGGCCCGTGCTGGTTTACAGATTTGGGCCTTATCTCCTGAGAGTGGTAGTTGAGAGTGGAGAGGGTGAAGCCAGTGTGTGCAAAAAGCCACTCGAGCAGTAGGAGGGGTAGAGAAAGAGTTCACCATCCTAGAAGCGAAGGGAGAAGTGTGGTTTTAGAAGGGGGCATTTTGTTTCCCAGTTGGAGAATTCACGCAGAGGGCAGGCCAAGCCGTCTTGCTGTCTTCATCCTTGCCCAGCCCTCAGTGGAGCTTTTGTTCCAGCAGCAGGCACTTGGAAGGAGTGGCTCACAGACCCTCCACCCAGAGTCAGTTACATAGCCCAGGGAAGAGCAGTTTGATGGGACCCCTCACTTTGAGGTTTCAGGGGGCTGTTCTTCAAACTTGGTTTGTGTCACTGCTTTGGGCTTAGGGCTGCTTCACTGCTCTTGAGTGAAACATTTCTTTCTCTGTTCTCCAAATGCTAGGGAAGGATCGAATCATATTTGTGACCAAAGAAGACCATGAAACTCCAAGCAGTGCAGAGCTGGTGGCCGATGACCCCAACGATCCGTACGAGGAGCACGGTGAGTGACGTGTGGCTCCCAGGGGTCCATAGACAGACTGGGGAAAACTCAACATTCATGATTCCTTCCATATTTCATCCTAGTCAAGGCTGGGCTTTGAGAGATCCATCTCAGTCTCGGATGGTCTCTCAGAACAGTGTGACCATCTCCCTCAGAGGTGTGAGGGGTGCTGAGTGCTTTCCAGCCTCATGCTGATTCACTGCCCTGGTGGTTAGGCCAGAGCACCAGAGTTTCTCCTTACTGAAGTGCTTCTGCCTCTTTCTCTTGCAAGTTTTTGCGCTGACTTAAGCAGGTCTGATGCTTCTCAACAATTAAGTTTGGGGGGAGGGTATCAGTGGATTCTAATAGTTACAGGTGACAGGGCTCCTCCTGCTCAGTCAAGCTTCCAGACTGAATTCTGCCACATCTACAGACTTTGTTAGCAGGCAGGCCCATAAACAGTCATGCACATGTGCTTGGAGGTTGGTGAAGTCCCTGCACTCTCCTTGGAGATGCCAGGCCAGCACCTGGCATGAAAAGGTAAGTCGAGACTCCATGGGGGCCTGCTGGACACACAGGACTTGCTTTATTTGTTTGACGGTGTTTTCTAAAATATGAATGTGCCTGCCTTTAACCTGGGCATTCCCTTCCAGTTCCCACTATTCTTAATTGTCTCTGTTTTCTCTCCTGTCTGCTTCTATCACTTACAGCATCTCTGCTCAGACCGTATAGGTATTTATTTGTCTTTGCAACCCTTTGTAGTGAATAACTGTATGAAGAAGCATAGAAAACACAGAGAACTCTGGTATCCAGAGAGCTCGGGTCCTCTGAGCTCTCAAATGCATAATTCTTAAGTGGACTACGTGGGTGGCCAGTTATGCCAGCTGCTGTGTCCCAGCACCCAGGGGCTCTGGCTGAAATAGCACCTCAGACAGCTAAGTGCCAGGAGAAAAAATGGCAAAATTAATATTCATAGAATCAAAAAGCCAGGAGAGCCTTAACTATCACTTAGTCCCAATGGGAAAACAGGGCCGAGGAGAAGGTGGGGACTGGCTAACGAAGTTAGTGGTAGGGACTAGAACGCAGGCCCTTAACTGTATATTTGAAGACATACTGCATCCCAGGACAGACTTGATTTAATATGCCGAAGCTACCATCTGTCCCTAAAATGCAGATTGGCACCGTAAATGTTCTCCACGAGGAGCTTTCCTATTCTCCTGAGAAATAATGAACCAAGTACCTCTGCAGACCTGGGTTATAATGTCCGTATAATAATCTGTTATCCCTTTTGGAAACTGATTGTATGGGTTTGTTAGCAGACTTAAACCTCCAGGGGGCAGCATTTGTGTGTGTTTTTCCACTGAGATGCCCCAAGAAGTAGGGTAAGGTGGTGGGATATAGGGGAAAGGGCACAGACTCTGGAAATCTATCAGCCTGACTCCATTCCTGACTTGGACCCCACTGAGCCACAGAAACCTCATGTGTAAACTGGGATTAGTAGTACCTACTGCAGAGGATGGCAAAGGGTTGCATGGCATACTGAGTGAGGCAGTAAAGCTAATACTGGAAAACTTGCTCTGCAGCTGTCCACGAGACTAGTGGTGCCGCAGGGGGGCAGTATCAGCTGATGTCTCCACTGTGGTCCCCATTTTACAAATAAAGAACAGCAGATTCTTCCATCAGCTTCTGAGGTAGAATTAAGAGGTAGGGCTCAGCCTAGGACCTAGGACGGTGGACTCTAGCTCAGCATGCTATCCCAGGTACTTCCCTGGAGTAAAAATCATGTGTGCTTCCATTGCACATTTAGTGTCTGTAGAAGACTCATGTAAGAAACTTCTCTCTGAATCATATTTTCGGGTCCATGGTGAAGCTGAAAATGAAGCTGTTGTCTTGAAAGCATTTTGGAAAACCAGGAAATACTATCTAGGTGTGAACAAGGGTCAAAGATAAGAAAAAGTGGGAAATTCAAAAGGGGGCCTATGTAATACTGAAAATGAAAATCCATCTGTAACCCCCACCTCACCCCACCCCCCCAATATATATATACAGTTTAACAGTTTGGTTAATAGTCCTCCAGGTTTTTAATCTTTACAAGAATGGAATCATACTGTCCTGGTCCACCACTAGCCTTTTCATTGTACAACGTGTCAGACATCTTTCCACATAAGCACATAAGGACCTACCTCCTCCTTTTTACTAGTCGCAGACTGCTGAGCTTCTGAGAAACAGCCTCAGAGTAGGAGGGGCTTGAGGACCAGGAGTACTGGTGGGTGGTCTGGTCCTGATCTTTTGTATGAGAGTCAGGCCAGGGATTGGAGGGAGGTCAATAGCTCAGCTCTTTAAAGCATTTCGGCTTTCAAAAAGCTTCTCCCTAACCTTCAAGTGATTGCTTCTTCTTTGGATTAAATGGTTTTCAGTACTTAGTTCTTGGAGCAATCTCACAGCCCTGGGAGGTGGCTTAGAATATAGTTCAGTATTGCCCGTGGAGAAAGATGCTGAAGGCGGCTTCTCTAAGTGGACCAGGGAGTGCTGGGTTTATGCCAGGCATTTGAACCTGATCCACATCAGGAAGCAGTTCTCCAGGTGAGTGCCCACCAGCTGACATTTTATACTGCTCTGCACCTCCCAAGTGACCTGTGAGGACAGGACTTGGTTTTAATTTTTCTGAAACCTTAGAGAAGGTTTCTCTCACATATCTTGCCCCATCTTCCTGTTCCAGGATTGATACTGCCAAATGGAGACATTAACTGGAATTGTCCGTGCCTTGGAGGAATGGCCAGTGGCCCCTGTGGGGAGCAGTTCAAGTCTGCCTTTTCCTGCTTCCACTATAGCACGGAGGATGTCAAGGGGTCAGACTGTATAGACCAGTTCCGGGCCATGCAGGAATGCATGCAGAAATACCCGGACCTCTATCCCCAGGATGATGACGATGACGACGAGGAGGAGAAGAAGAAGCCAGAAGGTTCAGAGGAAACAGCTCCCACTGAGGCTACTGCAACCAAAAAAGAGGAGGGCTCGAGCTAATGAAGGCCACAGACACTGGGCTCCAGTCCTTCCATTGCAGATTGATATGGACCTTTTACAAATGCCTTTCGGTCACTCTCAGAGAAAGCGTCTTTCCTTCTTCTGTTCTGTGCACTGTAACGTACACAATAACTTATTTTGAGGATCAAGGGTTTTGGCCCCTTGACAGATATGCTGAAAAAAGCAGGGGTTGTATGTATGTGTGTCTTATGTAAACCTATCAGCAAATGTAGCTGCCACTTGTGAATTCTCTTTTCTCAGACTGCCCTGAATTTTGCCACTTTGAAATAATGTGCTGAATGTTCTCAGCAACCAAAAATCATCCAGGAGTGTTTCTTGTGAGTGAGCTGATTTATTCTAATCCATTATGTCCCTTGTAGTACATTTCATATCCTTTTGGGAAATGAAACAGAAACAAGAACATCTTCCTTTAAAGATGCTGGCATGGGCCATTCCTAATAGTAGAGACCAGATTATCAGATACGTATTTCTCAGAAATCATCTAGATCTTGAGCATATAAGAGGGTACCGTGAGGTTGTTATATACTTCATTCCTGATCCGTCTTGGCTTTCGTTTTTCTGTTGAGTTGCAGGTTTTCTGCATTTGGAAGGAGGAAGTCTGGACTCTCCCGTTTACAGTCCCTTTGTAAGTGAAGGGAAAGGCTGGTTATCGCTGTTCCTTTTTTTCCCAAAAGCCCTGGTTCAGGGCCTGTGTTAACACTGGTTCTGTCTCAGCCTGTGCAGATGCCGTGTTCTTGAGAGGTGGGGACCTAGTTGTTACCAGAGTAACAGCCAAGAGGGAGACTGGTGTGAATTAAAAGGAAAAAAAAAAAAAGATTTCTACCTAATTTTGAATGTGTTCTTTGTTTTTTACTAGTTAAAGATGTTTTTGATGTAAGGAAATATAAATTATTAAAAAATTCAATTGAATTTCCTCTTCAAAGATACTGGTAACCCATTTTGAGTTTGTTAAAATTGTCTATGTTGAGTTCAAATCAAGCCGCCTTTTATTGTCTGTGAGTCAGATGCCTTTATACAGACACTGCACTCAATCCCTGAGGTGAGGAAAATGCTTCCTATTTGAAGATGGGGAACTGCAGCCCTTGCAGGTTAAATCACTTGCCCAAAGTGAGTGCTACGCAGTCTATTGCCATATAACAAATTACCCCAAAATGTAGTGGCTTAAAAATAACGAACAGTTATTTATCTCACAATTTCGGTAGGTCAGGAATCTGGGCGTGGCTTACCTGGGTCCTCTGGCTCCAAGTCCCACAAGGCTGTGATCCATGTGTCAGAGTTACAGTCATCTCAGAGCTTGACTGAGGAGGATCACATTTCAAAATCACTTGAGGTTTTTGGCAGGATTTGGTTCCTTGTGGTTCCTTGTGGCTGTTGAACTGAGGCCTCAGTTCCTCACTGGCTACCGGCCCGAGGCCTCCCTCAGTTCCTTGCCACGGAGCCTCTTCTTAAGGCGGCTCATAACATGGCAGGTGGCTTCCATCAGAACAAGCAAGAGAGCAAGAAAGGATGAGCAAGATGGAAGCCAGAGTCTTTTTGTAACCTAATCTTGAAAGTGGCATCCCTTTACATTTACCACATTCTGTTTGTTAGAAGCAAGTCACTGGGTCCAGTCTACACTCAAGGGGAGGAACACAGGGCGTGAATACCAAGAGGCTGCCTACCACATGGGAGGATGAGGAAACACTACATTAAAGCTCAAAGCACAGCTAAAACGTGAAGAGTCGTGGCTCAGAGGTGTTAGTGAGGTAGAGAACTATAGTATCAAAACTTAAAAAAAGCTTGGTTAGAAACCAAGAACCTGGAGCTGGCTGAGATTGGAAGTTATGACAGCCTCGTGGAGGGCCCTTGTCACTTCTTTTAGCCACACACATGTAAAAACTACTTTTCAGTGAAAATTTTGAGCACGATAAAAGTTACTGATGACCGTGTCATGATCCCATTTGCTTGATGCAGTCAAGAAACTTTTATAGGTCCAAGCCAGAGGGGCATGGGAAAGTGATTCATATATGGTGCCTGCCCTCAGGAAGTCACAACTGAGTATAGAAGTCAACATTTACTAGAAAGCAGAAAGGAATGGGTATTATGACACCAGATTCTCAGGGAAGATTATTATCTTCCAGCCATGGGAACTCTGAGAGCAGAGATCCTCAAACTGCCCAAGTCCACTTGGGTTAGGCAAAGGACTCCATCCTTTTCCACTTCGCAGAGGAGAACCAACTTGGTGATAAAGTGCCACTGCATGAGCAATTGGGAGTGGGTGGAGATTGAGCTTTAGCACCAGGAGTTTGGATAATTTATATTTAAACTGCCATGTAGCCTTATAAGCAAAAAACTTTCAATAGATTAAATAGATAATGTAAAGACAAAATTACAGAGATGATAATTTAAAAACAGCAATTGAAATGAAGGTGCCCTTAAGATAACACTGACTTAGAAACGCCAGCCACTCTTACACGTACAGTGTTTTGTTGTTTTGCCACATAGGCAAGTGCTGCATATCAGTCAGGCATCTTAGAACATTGAATTTTAATCTTTAATAAATTCTAGCGATGTTCAGGTTTTAATTTAGTAACATATTTTGGTAACTCATCGTGTCTCAAACTTCTAGAAAGTAGCCTTTAAGTAAAAATAAAAGACTTCTCCTTCACTTGGAAGAACTAAAGAAAAGACTTGTATGTTTTTATCATTTTATACATAACTTTCAAGACCCCAGAATGGTACTTTCAGAAATGAGTATTTTACTGTGATGTAAATACACAACCAAAGAGTGAAAAAAAAGAGCACACAGTTCACCAAAACAGGGTATTAAGAAAACAGAGGATAGCAGTATAGATGAAACAAGATCATCTATCAGCTGGTAATTGATTTACTCTTTTCATATATGTTTAAAGTTTTCCATAATAAAATGTTAACAGAAAAACCAGGTTCTAAGCAGAAATGTTTAACCTCCTGTTGTTACCTCAAGTTGTAAGTTCACAGCCAAGCTATTGCCCTGTCCCCCAGTGATGTCATGGGCAGTGGCTTACAGTTTGCCTTGCTGATCAAGGACTTAGAAAAAACAGATTTGCAAAGTTGGTAACTAGGAGGTCTTCGGGAAAGCATGAGGGTCAACCTCACAGAAAGGCAGAATGTGAAGATAGTCATCACTACACGAATGCCCACCAGAGGAATCCACATTATGGAGGGAATTCTCCATAATCAGGCAGACATGACAGCCTGTCTTGTGGATGTCACTCAACTTCTTTCCCAGCCTCTTTCATGTTCATGTAACCATGCACAAAACGGAGGCTGAGCATGGAATGTACATCATGATCTTTCGCTCCCCAAGGTTGCCCAATCTTCCAACATTAGAGGTTGATGTTGAGTCTTTGATATGGAAACATTTAGTGGTAACAGGTTGAATATTAGACTTAATCATAGAGAGGTAGGGGTGGTGCTTTACTCACTGGGATAGACACATATTCTGAGTATGGATTTGACTTCCCTGCCCAAAGCTCTTCACCGAGCACAACCGTTCCTGACTTACAAAGTGTCTGACATGTATCTTACAATGTCTCTATGGTATCTTGTAAATTGTCTACAAGCTAGGAGACATTTTAAAGCAAAGGCAGTGTATCGGGAGTCATACCCATGGAATTCACTGATTTTTCAATGTTCCCCATCACTCAGAAGTAGCTGATTTAATAGAATGGTGGAGTGGCTTCCTGGAAGCTCAGTTACAGTGCCAGTTTTTTTGAGGGGAGGCCTGTGGGCTTTGGATGCTGTCTTACAGGGTGTTGTGTATTTAATATATGGGACTGTTTATCTTGAAGCTAGACTGCATAGCTAGGAACCAAAGGGGGAAGGTGGGTCCTTCTCATTGTTACATTTGCTAATCCACTTGTAGAATTTTTTTCCTGTTCTTGCAACCTTGGGCTGGGAGAGAGAAGGTAATGTGACAGGAGTGGGTACCACGGGCATTTGGGTCACTTCTGTAACTTCCTTGTGCCTTCAGGTCCTACTCGAGCCTGATCTTGTATACATACCACTTTCATTTACTGATGCAGTGCTGCATTGCACATTCGACTTTATGACTCTGTGGGTCAGACAATACCCAGTTCATGAGGGTCAGCTCAGGCCTCATAGTAACTGGATGGCTCATGATTAAGTGTTCAGTCTCTACTAAGGACCAGTAACAAGCCAAAAACTGTTTCTCAAAAGGACAGCAGTTTTCTGCAGAGGACGGTAGGACTTTGTTCCAAAATCCTAAGGGTCTGCACTGTGAGTCACCAATAGGGGCCTGCCAAAGACCCCAAACAGCATCTGTATCTGCCACTGATGCTTCAAGCACCATTGGATCAGCTAGATGATCCATATGACCCAAGTGGCAGAACGGCTTACACGGCAGCCTGAACCTGTTGCAGAGCCTTCTCTTGTTCTGGGCCCCACTCAAAACTAGCAGCTTTCGAGTCACTAGATAAATAGGCTGGAATAGCACACTCAGACGAGGGATATGTTGCCTCCAAAATCCAAAGAGGCCGGTCAGGCACTGTGCCTCCTTTTTAGTTGTAGGAGGGGCCAGATGCAACAATTTGTCCTTCACTTTATAAGGAATTTCTTGACATACCACTGGACCCTTAGAAATTTCACTGAGGTGGAAGGCCCTGTAATATTTATTGAGTTAATTTCCCACCATCTGACATACAAATATCTTACCAATAAGTCTAGAGTCATTGATACTTCTTCCTTAATAGATCAAATCAGCATAATGTCTTCAATGTAATGGACCAGTGTGACGTTTTGTGGAAGAGAAAGGCCATCAAGCTCCTTGCAGACTATGACAAAGGGCTGGAGAGTTAATATACCCCTGCTGTAGGACAATGAAGGTGTATTGCTGACCTTGCCGGCTGAAGGCCTTTAGAAACAGGTATGAAGGAAAAAGGCATTGGCCAGATCAATAGCTGCATACTAGTGCCAGGAGATGTATTAATTTGCTCAAGCAATGAAACCAGCTGCGATTGGAACAGCAGCTGCAATTGGAGTCACCAACTGGTTAAGTTTACAATAATCCACTGTTATTCTCCAAGATCCATCTGTTTTCTGCACAGGCCAGATAGGCGAGTTGAATGGGGATGTGGTGGGAATCACCACCCCTGTATCCTTCAAGTCCTTGATGGTGGCACTAATCTCTCCAATCCCCCAGGATTGCGATATTGCTTTTGGTTTACTATTTTCCTAGGCAGGGGCAATTCTAATGGCTTCCACTGGCCTTTTCTACCATTATAGCCCTTATTCCACATGTCAGGGCTCCAGTGTGGGGTTCTGCCAGTTTCTGAGTATGTCTATTCCAATTAGGCCTTCTGGAGCTGATGAAGTCACTACAGGATGGGTTCAGGGACCCACTGGACCCACTGTGAGATGGACCTGAGCTAAGACTCCATTAATAACCTGACCTCCATATGCCCCTACTCCGACTGGCAGACCACAGTGATGTTTTTTGTTTCCTGGGATTAGTGTCAGTTCAGAGCCAGTGTTGAGTAATCTCCAAAAAGTCTGATTATTTCCTTTCCCCCAAGGAACAGTCACTCTCATAAAAAGCTGTAGATCCCTTTGGGGAAGGCTGGGAGAAAGATTAACAGTGTAAAGTTTTGATAGTGCAGTGAGTGGGGTCCCTCTCAAGGGAACCTGGCCTCCCCTTCATTCAAGAAGATGTGGGTCTATAAACTGGCTGAAGTCTGGGAATTGATCGAGGAGCTGTGACTATTTGGTGATTCAAGCTAGATTGCCATTTACTTGACCTATAATACTTTTGTTTGT